AAGTAGATTGATTGATCTAGTAGTCAAAGGAAAAGGTCAACTGAAACACGAAAGAAGAGCAGTTGGTGATTTGGCAAGCATCTTTCCCAATTATCCCACATCCTAAGAATTGCTAAATAAGAAAATCATCAAAACTCTGGGTATCATTTTAAAACAAACTGGCCTTCTATCAGGATCAGTGCATATCGACCACCTTAAAATATTGTTACTTGTTTAACATCCATAGGTAACACGGATCAAATCTTCAAAGCTCATCCACATTATAAACCCATATCACACATTTTCAGCTACAGAACCCTTATTCAGCACCTATATGAATGTAACACCTGGATTAAATTACCTCCAACTCCTTACTCCATATATCTGACATGGGGACAGAATGAATAGCTTTAATGAAGTGTGTTCTACCAACAGCCTGCTCTTCCTTCCCATCACCTAGATTTTTGCAAGTAGGAATTAATGAGAAATGTAATGTAATTGGAGATTAGCATTATCTCTGAAATACCGTTATGTGAGTTTGGTTCCTTTTAGTTAATAAGAGAGATGCTATGGACTGCTTAACTCATCTGGCCACAAAACATACTTAATGTAATGCATTATCCTTTATAGTAAAAATATATTCTTTATTGCTCCATTGCTACAGCCTGTATGTTCTATTATGCTCCATTGCACCACATAATGGAAATGCTAATGTTGGCTGGTTCCACAGTGTGTAAGATATCTTGCCTTGCCTGCCCTATTTTTTCTTTATACAACTGTTTCCTTACCTACCTAGATTTACGTGTGCAGACACAATTTACTCATCCTGCTTTGAGGTTCCACAATATTTGGCATGTATGAAGTTTGCTTTCCCTCAGCAATCCCCAATGAATATGGCAAGCCATATATGATTTACAAACACTCCATTATTTAAGAATATACCTTCATTTTTCCACTGTACTTTGGATCAGAGATGGTTTCAAATGCAGCATCTTTGCTCTGCTGGACAAACTCTGGAAATTTTGAAAATACTTCATCGCACACCCTTTTAATATGAGCTTCCTGAAATAAAGAGAGTGTATTTCATAAAATGTGTGTAAATACACAAATTCCAATTCATACATTTATTATATATATTTTTATATAATCATAATGTTATCATAGAATAATATAATTTATCATATAAATTATATTATTATATACCTTTTTTATAACATGATATAAATATTACATTAGTTAAGATGTGTTAGTTACAACTAACAGGCATCTAAACAAACTTGTGCAAGAAATGTAAGTTTACAGACTCTTGTTATTGACAAATAATGGAAATAATGCATTGACAATTCGAATAAATAAATTACACAACATATATCTCGGGATCTTGTGGGCCTGCAGTGATCTTTGTATAAACCAGGCTGAAATATCAATCTTAGTCACGGTTTTCTAGTGATAGCTTAACACTGTGGGGTAAATCGGCGGTAAGCAGCATCAGCATAGGACGAGGGGCAGCAGCATGTTTTTCATTTATCAAACTACTTGCAAATGAATCTACTGCACATGCATGCAGTGGCTTTGTGGACTTTCAGTTCTTTCTTTGCACACTGTGTAAAAAATGTTGTACACACCACATAAGCTCCAGTATAGAAGTATTTCTATCAATTAGAAGTAGGAGTTAACTAGGTAAAGCTAACATGCAATTGAATTAGCATGTTTTTTCTCTTTGCATAAGGCATCATTGAAAGAGAAAAACTAAAACATTTTCAGGTAAAATGCTACAGAAACATAAAATATGTCATAAAAAAATAGTATCTGGCAACTATAGTTCCACACTAATATTACTTTAAATGGTGGAACCCATTTTAGATTTTATTCATGACCAGATGGGGTCACTACATTATCTGATTTTCATACTATTAGTGAAAAAAAACTTATACCATACTAGTTAAATAGTAGGGTAACTATGCAACTTTTCAGCATTTGTAGGATCAGGTCTCAGCAGAGCAGATGTCGTGAAATGAAGTGAATTTTGAAAACAATAAATAGCACGTACTCAGTGTTTGTGTGCTGATACTGTTATTGTCCTGGGAATCAATTAAATGACCTTGTTGCTAACTCAAGATACATATTTCTGTATAGGCCAGTTAACACATGTTATGGATAATTTCCAAAGTAAATAATATTACAACACCAACTTAACTCTTAGTATATTGCAATATCAAATTTAACTCGTAATATAAATATAAAGTTATTGAATGCAATTGTCAACCATTTTTTTCCACCTCTGCTATTTTGGCTAAAAAATTGCAACTTCTAATTGTTAAGGTTACTCATTAAAGTAGGTATTATACATGATTAACCACTCCTGACCTTTGATTATATATCAAGATACACAAAAAACAAAACTAGCCAGAAAGTCCAGAAAATATAATTTGAAAATCCCCATAAAACAAGGATATGGGGAGGTACTATTTTATTTGTGAGACATTGCTGAGCACAAACATGAGTGTTTTAGAGCAGTAAAATGTATAAAGATGGAGGGCGGAGCCAAGCAGCGAGACGGACAAGACGCCATCTCTGGCTGCTCCCAATCAACCAGAAAAATCACCCTAAAATCTTGCTTAAAACACGTCATCCAGAGCATCAACCGCTAGACTTGAGCGGGGTAACCCTTACTGCATCGTCCAATGCCCTTCCAACACACCCCAAAACAGGCTAAGCCACGACGCAGAGATGGGGCCTATCTCACGCCGGCGTTCTACGGCCTGGATCACCTCCTGGGGGAGACATACCTGGAAGAAGCGGGTGACACGGTACAGCACGGCACTGAGCACAGTAACTCAGCGATGGGGCCCAAATCCCAGAAGCCCCAGCCAGGTAGGACATCTATATGCGCTGATATCACCACTTTGCTCCAGCGACAAACGCCCGCTAAGATGGCGACCACAGAGGGCCATAACACTCCCCCCAGGCTACCCCTCCAGCCCCTGCACTAAACAAAATCTACAGCACCTACAAAATATGCTGCAGGAAATACAAAACCTCTTGGCAGCAGACTTACCTGCACTCAAAACCAGCATGCAACAGATCACTGAGAAAGTGGTAACCACAGAGGGAGATGTAAGGGCGATTCACGGTGAAATCACCACACCAAAAGAGTCTATTATACAGCTACAACACACCCAACAAGCCCTCTCAACACAAATATCAGCACAACTTCCAACAGCTGTAACAAGGAAACACACCTTTGCTGGGATCTACCGCCTACCCACATCGACCAAATCTTCCACACCTCCCGCTGGAGATGTCATAAAACGCTGCTCCCTGCTCCAAGACAAGGGACACATCATGGCCGCAATAAAAGGCAAAACCCCACTCAACTTTTAAGAGTCTCAACTGACTTTTTACCAAGACCTAACGAAAGCCACACTACAGTGGAGAAAAACACTCAGCTACCTCACCAGCCACCTACATACAGCAGGGGTGACATACAGATTGGGTTACCCACATCACTCATAATGGGACTATTCACAAAATCACAGCAGAAACCAAATCTCTCGCATTGCTTACAACATTAGGCCTCCTGGAAACGACAACAACCACCCCAACATGGGACTTGGCAACCATCGAGCCATTCATCCCAAGAACCGGACGAAAGAACCCACTGGCCACCTGACAGGTCTGGGCGGAGAAAGTCTCCTATCCCAGCCTGATCAAAGGCCTTACAGACTCTTCAGTTATTTGTTTTTGATGTTTTTTACTAGTTTACTACTTTACTGTTACCAGTTCACAAGTGGACAATTTGTTTCTCCTAATGCTCTACCATGTAACTGGCCAGGATCACCCAGACCCCCACCGTCCACAATATTTAGGAGTCAGCTGATCGTGGCGCTGGCCCATTTGCACAACAACACAAGCCGCACAGCCAAACAGTGCGCAACTCTCCTCCCCGGCAACCCCTTGGTTAGGGTTACTACCCATCCAGAGTAGTACGCACAGCCCACGGATATAGTACACCTCCTCCTGGAGGAAACGCCTCCACATAACCTACTCTCACACTTCTCTAATAGTAAGCAAACTTTCCCTCTCCTGATCCATGAGTGGTAACTCACTAATTTACTCTCCAGATGACAGCTAATGTCTACTCATATACCTGACATCAACATCAGGACCCACTATGGATCACACCACTACTACCCCATCTCACCCTAGGCGAAAGTTTCCAGGCCCAACCGAACGCACCTACATTCAAGACTTTCTCCCAAAACCGCCTAGGGACACACGCGCGTAAAATTTCTGAATATAAAAAGTGCTAAGTTTTGTAACACAATATTTTGTGACACGAATATTGAATACTGTGACACACTGTAATTTGCACTGATGTGCATGATGAACATGTTTTCTGCTCATGGCACATCAAAAAAATTTTTTTGAAAAAAAAATATATAAAGACGAAGATGTCTTTGTTAAAAGGGCAGTTTTAGTGTGAAAAATGCAAACAAACTAATATGAACACTACCTTTTTGCCAGGGTTTGTAGCTAAGTGGCTACTAAAAAAACACTGAACATACCACAGTTTATACCCTGGTTATCTGCTTTTGCAAATGGTATAACATGAAGGGGGTAATTTTTATTTCTGGCCTGCCATACAGTCTCAAAGGCAAATCAATCTGGCAAATTTCAATGTGTATAAACTAAAAAGGGGAAAGCCTATATTTGGCCCTGTAACTTTCCAAAACCCCATAAAACCTGTACATGGGGGTACTGCTATACTTGTGAGACATCACTGAACACAAATATGTGTATTCTATTGCAGTAAAACTGTAAAAAAAAAATATATATATTCTGACATTTACAGTTAAAGTGTCATGCATAACTTGGAAAATAACTACATTTCTTAATTTTCTCACACTTTGTTATATTTTATTAATTTTAAACAATGTTTCATATATAGTGATGTCCCGAACTGTTCGCCGCAGACTCATCATTGAGTAAACTTTGACCCTGTACCTCACAGTCAACAGACACATTCCAGCCAATCAGCAGCAGACCCTCCCTCCCAGACCCTCCCACCTCCTGGACAGCATCCATTGTGAAGCTGCATTCTTAGTGAACTGTCCAGGAGGTGGGAGGGTCTGGGAGGGAGGGTCTGCTGCTGATTGGCTGGAATGTGTCTGCTGACTGTGAGGTACACGGTCAAAGTTTACTCAATGATGAGTCCGTGGCGAACCGTTCGCGGCGAACCGTTCGCGAACAGTTCGGGACATCACTATTCATATATAAATATATGATTTGAAATTAACTCCCTATTTTTATTGAATTAAATGATATGTAATAAGTGTGGGTACATTCATAGGCGTGCGCACGGGGTGTGCCGGGTGTGCCTGGGAACACCCTAATCCCCACGGCACGCCTATGTATTGAGACCGGCAGGGGAGATCTCAGGACCTCCCCTGTCGGCTCATGCAGAGCCGGCCCTATCCGAGCGCCGGCTCTGCTCTAAGCCTCCCTCCCCACTGCAGCATGGAGGGAGGCAGGAGAGGACCCGGGGAGCTCAACCAGCAGCTCCGCCGGGTTCCTCTCGCGAGATCTGAGCGTTGCCGCGGCTCACTCTCTACTGGACCACCAGGGAAAGCAGCAGGAACAAGAATCCCCCCTCCCTACATAAGGTAAGAAGGGAGGGGGGATATTAAGTAATGTACCCCCACAATCACCCACACAGATACAACACACACACACAGCACCCACACACACACAGCACCCTCACACAGCGCCTTCACACACACACAGCGCCTTCACACACACACACAGCACCCTCACACACATACAGAACACACACACAGCACCCTCACACACATACAGCACACACACACACAGCACCCACACACATACAGCACCCTTGCACATACAGCACCCTCAAACACACAGCACAGAAACAGCACCCTCACACACACAGCACACTAACAGGACCCTCACACACACATAGCACACAAACACCCTCACACACAGCACCCTTACACACACACACACACACACACAGCACCCTTAGACACACAACACCCTCAAACCACCCTCACGCAGTACACACACACACACATCAGTGTGTGTATGTGTGTAGATATATATATATACATATATATACATATATATATACACACACACACATACATATACACGCAGCGTGTGTTTGTGCTTTAGGGTGCACACCCTAATGCAATAGGCTGCGCATGCCTATGGGTACATTTAATATGAAAGAGGTGAATTATGGTTGAACAGAATGTAGCTCAAATTCCAGGTTTTGTTTTGGTTCAGAACAGGAATGAGCCAATCCCGATTGGGGATTTTGTCGGTCAGGCGGCTCTTCAAGTGGCTTTGAAAATTAAACTATTACATTCTGTGAGACTTGAAATTGCTGTTTAGTAAATGCGCTGGATCATGTGTGTTTATATTTATATATTTTTTTTTTTTACACTTTCTAATCCTCCTGGTGGTATTTTGTGTATTTGTCATTCTTGGGTCCTGCAAGTCTGAGGGTTCAGTGTAGTAGCTGCTCCTAGAACTTCACTTTCTGCACAGAGATCCCAGATATCCCACCTAGAATCTACTGAAGCCACTCCTTCAACTTGAGGGTTACAGCCCCAAGTGCAAATATCACAACAGGCACTAATTCTGCCTTCACTTTCCATATCATTTCTAGCTCCTCTTTCCATACCATTTCCAGCTCCTCTTTCAGTCTTTCGTATTTGTCCAACTTCTCATGTTCCTTCTTCTTGATGTTATGGTTACTGGGTATTACCACATCCATCACCAATGCAGTCCATGATGTTGAGTGAGTTGGATGGCCAGTTATTGCTTATCTGATGGGATCTGGATGTCCCACTGTCATATATAACTATCCTTTGTGGTTTTAATCAACTACTCTTCCAACTATCCTTTGTGGTTTATCATGTATATGAATCAACACGAGTCACCAAACCCCCCAACGTTTCAACACCAACTGGCTGTCTTTATCAAGGGTACCTGATAAAGGCAGCCAGTTGGTGCTGAAACGTTGGGGGGTTTGGTGACTCGTGTTTCTGTCTTGAGGCTTGTAAGAATTTTTGTGGTAATATATTATTATTTTATTGTATTTGCCCTGGCTTCTGTCACTTTGTTTATTTTTTCTTATATGTTTTCACTCTGGTACTTTTTTGTACATAATAAAGCTAAGTTTTTTGAGATAGTTATAGTGTGCATTCTATATTCTATACACATATGAATTAACAGAGGACATTTTAAGATTGATTTCAATAAGAAAAAATAACACTTTTGAATAAAAATCTTACCTGTTTTTTGCTGGTGCTCGAATCTGTTTGCAGGAGAGCTGCATGGTTTGCTACTTTTCGGAGTATCGCCAGATAACTGAAATACAATGTCCTCACACTTTCACCATATTTATTCTTCTGCAATAATAAAATGTGTGAATATGGTTTAGGGAGTGGTCTAGCTGTAGCTGAGGGCTGACACATTAAACAAGAAGCAGGAAATTTTAGTGGTATTATTTTACTTTATTTTTGCATTATTTTTAATGCATTTTCAATATTGTGAATTAAAATACAAGGGGTCAGTTCACTCCCATAGTTTTCTTTAATTTGTAGGCTTTGCTCCACTGCTGCAAATGAAATAACAAATAAAGTAAAATAACATTCATAATGTAATAACTAGAAATAACCAACTAACTAAACTAATCATACATTTTGCAAATCTTAAAAGCACCACAGATAACTATTAGTGAATATACCTTTATTTCCAGTACAACTAAATTCGCCAGCACATCATTTTATGTTTAAAAGGATACTATGAGCACAAAATGTGAAAAAAAGAAAACAATGTTATCTTAATGAAGCAGTATTGATCATGTCATTAATCACATTTAAACTTAAAAAAAAAAAAAAATCTACAATAAACACATGGTGCTTATAACATCTGATTAAAAATTTCATGTAGGCTGGGTAAGTCACAACCAAAGGAAGATGTGGCTAAGGATGAATAAGAAGAAACAAACGTGATTTAACTCCTAACTGACCGAGAAATGTCACTGCAGGGGACTGATCTATACAATAAAACTGCTTCATTAAGTTAAAGTGCAGAGAGCCTTTTTCTGTTGCTGCAAATGTCCTAGTTATGTTAAACCATTCTCAAGCAGTTTGACAAAAATCAAGGCTTCCTATGAACCTAAAAAATAATTTTGCTTGGAATTAGACTTGTTTTTGCATGTGTATCTGAAATTCCTACAGTAATAAAAACACAAATAGATTTTTAAGCTATGTTGGGCACTATATTTGAATTCTAATACTGTAATGCACATTCAGAGCTCAGCATGTGACTATCAAAGCCTTAAACACTACTATAGGGTCATTAAAAAAAAAAAAACACCTGGTCCCCCTCACCCACCCTACATATAGTAAAATCTTACCTTTATTCCACTCTGCAGGTGCTGGCTCGGTCCCTGATCTGCCTGCTGGCTGACATTATCAGAAGTGTTTATCTGAGCCAATCACAATGTTTTCCCATAGGAAAGCATTGGATTGTCTGAGCTTGTCAAGAAGACAGATCAGGGGCCGAGCCAGCACAAGCCAAACACAGCCCTAGCCAATCAGCATTTCCTCATAGAGATGCATTAAATCACTGCCTCTCTATGCGGAAAGTTCAATGTCTTCATGCAGAGGGTGGAGACACTCCCCCAGGACATACTTCTAGTAGCCATCTGAGGAGTGGCCAGTGGAAGTATACCTAGGCTATAATGGAAACACTGCATTTTTTCTGAAAAGAGAGTGTTTACTGAAAAAAAATCCTGAAGGGACGGATTATACTCACCAGAAAAAATACAATAAGTTGTAGTTGTTCTGTTGACTATACTGTCCCTTTAAAGAAAAAGGTGGAGTATTTATATTTACACTCTGTATGTAAATGCTAAATGTGACTTTATAAAAAATATTAACACTAAAACCAAACAAGCCATAAATAAAAAAGTAAAATAGTTAATTATTGTGTCATGGTTGTCCTTCAGTCATGCAATATTTTACCATGTAGGGATGATTGTAGGGACAAAATCCAACGTGGACTGTTTCCGTGCTTGTAACAGTGGATCCCAGGTATCATAAGATACAGATACTCTCTGCCAACTGGGGCAAGAACTGATGGCACCTCACTGACAGATGGGCTGCATGCATTGCTCAAAGTGTGGATTTAAATCACCATAGACGGCATTGAGGTTAAGCATGGTTAAATCCTTGCTCAGACCAGGAAGACCCAGATACCAATTGATACCTCAGGCTCCACTCTGTAAGCTGGGTTCATACTTAGTAGCCACAAACTGAATATGAGATGTAAATATCTATTGAGAACACAGCAGCCGAGCAATCATGATCAGCCACAGTAATTCTCACAGTAACAGCTCGCTTGAGGGAAACCCCAGGGTCTAAAAACACACTAAGAGGATCTGTCTCCGTGCATGACCCAATGTAATTTTGATCAGTGCTGGGTTTTACCAGATGCCCTGCACCAATCACAGGGTAATGGCATTGAATCTTCAGTATGATAGGTATATATCCCTATTATGCTGAAAATAGCCAGCAGATGGCAGCAACACGCCACTTTTTACTTAAATATATACTTTAATATCAGTACTGATGATAGCAGAGTGAAACCCTTAGATTAAGGATTAGGATTAGTATTGAATTTAGGATTAAGATTTACAACCAAGGATTCCCTTTCCCACAGTGATTATAGCTCAGAAAGCATAGGTTAGTGTTTATAGTTGTTGTGGCAGATCCAGGCCAAGCACTAGCCGAGAATTAGTGTAGGGTTAACTAGAACAGGAGGTCCCCATAGAACAATAGGATTTGCAGCATACCTGGCACCTAGGTGTCTGTACCTGAGCAGGTAATTTAATAAGTGACCAGACAGTTTGGCATCAGTTAACATTTTTACATAAAATATGGGGTTCCTGTCCCCAAATCCTCAGAAAGCTCTGTTCTGAGGGCCAACACTGTCTAACACTTGGATCAGACGTGGCTATCCTGAGTTAGCTGGAAGCAAAGTTTTGACCAGGCCATCCTCTTATCTGGAGCAGAGTTCCACGACGATGGGTGTAAAACCCAAGTCACCTAAAACAGCGCTTTTGGTGGGTACATG